TTCCTGTATTATGACTGTACCCGAGATGGCAAAGAATACATTTCAGCCGACGTTTAGTCCGTGCCGATGAAAACGAAAGTGAAAGGTTTGATGATTTTATTAACCTGATTATACGGTTAATGCAAAATGTAATCTTCGATAAATGTTCGGTAAATTTCGCGAGATGTACGCAACAAGTAAGAGATTAAATTTAATTTGTGTCTATGAACGTGATAGCGCTATGTGTATGGGTTTATAATTTCTAAATGACCTACGAGTGCTAGTCGCAAAGATTTGACCTAAAATATGTTTTTAATCTTGTTATTTATGTTATATCATTATGATAAATACATATTAAAAATATTAAAATAGAAAATACAATTTTGATTTTGGTACTCAGTACATTCATATTGATATTGTTATAGGCTATAAGAATATAACAAAAATAAAAAAAAAATCTATTTTATTTTTCTAATATTGATAGTATATTACATGCAGCATGCGACTAGCACCTTTTGTCGCGTACGTATGCCTTACATGTATTATCAACATTGTTATATTTTCAACATTATTGGATTGTTTTTCATTTTGTGCGTTTTGTTAATTAATAATGTTTTGAACTTATTTTGGTTAAAGTCTTATAGAGTCTCTTTTTAAATAACTTTGTTAAAGAATAAATATGTAAATTTCATTTGGATTCAAACCAATAAATGATATTTCATTTACGTAAAATACAATACAAAACGAGACTAAACATTGTTTTTAAGTTGCTTCTGGGGATCCACAGACCTCTCGTGTATAGGCTATACAGGTGTGCTTTTGCAGATGTAGATGTGATGACGAACAAGCTAGTGTGACTTCATCAAAACATTATTTATATATAATAGTACTCCATACTACACGGACAGAACCGAAGTGTGACCGAATATTTTTCAAAAATGTGTGTTATAATGTATTCCTACTCAAACTATATATACATTGTATATCAACAAACTATATCATCACCATCGTATACAGTCGATTCACGCTACACTATTTTATTTTAAGGTCTCCTTTGTCGCGAGATATGTTCATGCAACAAATATCAACATACACAGATATTTTTGAGGTTTATTTTATACAGGATTAATCAATGAGGATATTTTTGAAACAGTTTTTCTTTTGTCATCAAAGAAAATCACTGATGTTTATTCAAAATAAACTTGCCAGCTCGCCAAAGTTTGACACTGATTTTAATTTATACAAATAACAATGACTATATACAGACACTTGAATGATTTACAATAGAGCGACTGAACGTTCTTTTTACTTAGGTTTTTAATGTCTACTATTAAACTAAGAATGAATGGCACCATCATTAAAGTATTTATTGTATTGGGAAGTCATTTTGGTCATATTCTTTCAATTGGAATGAGTATAACGTTTGGTATTCTATACAGTGAAATACGAAATGATTTCAAAACTTCACATTATGAAGCAGTCTGGATAGCCTCGATATTTAACGGATTAACTCAAATCATTGGTAAGTAATTTCATTTATTTATTTATTTGGTTAAGATTTTGATAAGTTGCCAAGTTTTGCTCGACTGAGTTAATACACCTTTGATAATGAAAAAAGTAATAAAAATACAGTTCCCAATGAAAAATATGTTCAGTACTTATTTCAGGTTTACCATTAGGAGGTGTACCAATATCTATTTCAAGTTTACCATTAGGTCTCCTGTAATATTGATTTCAAGTTTTCCGTAAGGCCTTATACAAATGACATCTTTAGGTTTACCGTAAGGTCGTGCACCAATATCTATTTCGGGTTTACTTCAAGGACTTATACCAATACCTATTTCAGGTTTACCGTAAGGTCCTATACCAATAACTATTTCAGGTTTACCGTAACGTCTTATACCAATAACTATTTCAGGTTTACCGTAAGGTCGAATACTTATACCTATTTCAGGTTTACCGTAACGTCTTATACCAATAACTATTTCAGGTTGACCGTAAGGTCTTATACCAATACTTATTTCAGTTTTACCGTAAGTTCGAACACTTATACCTATTTCAGGTTTACCGTAAGGTCTTATACCAATACCTATTTCAGGTTTTACCGTAAGGTCGAATACTAATACCTATTTCAGGTTTACCTAAGGTCGAATACTAATACCTATTTCAGATTTACCGTTAGGTCTTATACCAATACCTATTTCAGGTTTAAGGTCTAAAACCAATTACTATTTCAGGTTAACCGTTAGGTCTTATACCAATGTCTATTTCAGGTTTACCGCAAGGTCTTATACCAATACCTTTTGGGTTTAAACCAAAACTTAAAACCAAAGTCTAGTCAGACCAAAGGGTTTTATACCAATACCATTTCAGGTTTAGGGTTGGGTCTTATCCCAATACTTTATTTAATTTCAGGTTTCCCGGGAAAGGTCTTATCCCAAAACCCCCATTTCAGGTTAACCGTTAGGTTTTTAACTAAACCTTTTTCCAGGTTTATTTAAAGTCTTTATAAAATGTCCCATTTTCCCTATTTAATTTAAACCATTAGGTCATACTTGTAAAGGTAAAAAAACTTTGGCTCACAGTTGGGGGAACTTTACTTTTGAAAGTGGGAAATTTGAAAACCAGAAATTTTTTCCCTCGAAAATCCTACTTTATATAAAAAATGGACTTATCGGGTGGAATTAAAAAAATTCAATTTTTTAAAATTAAAATTTAAATTTGAACCCTTAAAAATTGCAAAATGTTGAAAACCCAATTTAAAAACTACAAAACTGTCAATATAAATTATAATGATAACTATTTTCTTTGTTTACAACTGGCAATTATTCCCAAAAACCCTTTTAAAAGTCAATAGGGTCCAATTGACAGTCCCCGATTTTTTTATACTTTCTCAACAATAGACATTTTAATGTTACCGTTTTCCCCTTAAAATTAACGGGACAATGCAAAATAAATTTCTTTTTTAAATTAAAGGGCCTAACTTTAAAGAACACATTTTTTATGCCACCGCAGCATCTGCGATGCGGTGGCGCAGCATCTGCGATGCGGTGGCATATAGCGATTCACCTGTGTGTGTGTGTGTGTGTGTGTTTGTGTGTGTGTTTGTGTGTGTGTTATATAGATTATATAGTGAACTTAAAAAATCTTCTTGTGAAAAACCACTAGTCCAATTTCAACCAAACTTGGCAGGATTGTTCCTTGGGTGAAGGGCTTCCAAAGTTGTTCAAAGAATTTCATTCCATGCAGAAATCTGGTTGCCATGGCAACCAAATGGAATTATAAGAATAAATTTAAAAAATCTTCTTGTAAAGACCCAAAAGGCCTAGAGCTTAGATATTTTGCATAAGGCATTGTCTGGTAGACCTCTAACAAGATTGTTCAAATTATAGCCCTCGGGTCAAAATTGGCCCCGCCCCGGGGGTCATTGATTTTCACTATGTACATATTGTAAAAACTTAAAATACCTTCTTGTAAAAACCCAAAAGGCCTAGAGCTTAGATATTTTGCATGAGGCATCATCTGGTAGACCCTTACCAAGATTGTTCAAATTATAGCCCTTGGGTCAAAATCGGACCCGCCCCGGGGTCATTGATTTTCGCTATATGTACATATAGTAAAAACTTAAAACACCTTCTTGTAAAGACCCAAAAGGCCTAGAGCTTAGATATTTTGCATAAGGCATTGTCTTGTAGACCTCTACCCAGATTGTTCAAATTATAGCCCTGGGGTCAAAATCGGCCCCGCCCCAGGGGTCATTGGTTTTCCTTATATGTATATAGTAAAAACTTTAAAAAAAATTCTTCTAGCAATTGACAAATGCTAGAGGTTAGATATTTTGCATGAAACATTGTGTTGTAAACCTCTAGCAAGATTGTTCAAATTATAGCCCTGGGTCAAAATTGCCCTCGCCCTGGGGGTCATTGATTTTAATATATACATATAGTCAAAAAATAAAAAAATCTTATTGTCTGAAGGTACAAGGCTTAGAGCTTTCATATTTGTTAAATAACATCATCTAAAAGGCACTCTATCAAAGTTGTTCAAATTTTGCCTCTTGTGTCAAAATTAGCCCCGCCCCTGGGGGCAATAGGTTTATCTTATATGTATATAGTTAAAACTTAAAAAATCATCTTCTCTAAATTTACAAAGGATAGAGATAAGATATTTGGCATGAAACATTGTGTAGTGAACCTCTAGCAAGATTGTCCAAATTATAGCCCTGGGGTCAAAATTGATTCAGCCCCGGGGGTCATTGATTTTCATTATGTACATATAGTGAAAAAAAAATTTTTGTCTGAAGGTTCAAGGCATAGAGCTTAAATGTTTGATATATAATATCATCTATAGGTCCTCTACCAAAGTTGTTTAAATGTCAAAAATTGGCCCTGCCCGGGGGCAGTGATTCTCATTGTGTACACGTAGTAAAACCAGAAAATAAAAACAAATGTTTTCTGAATGGGAGAAAGCTATAGCTTAATATTTGATTTGAAATGTTGTTTGGTGGACCTGTATCAAGATTGTTATTAAACCCTTGGGTCAAAATTATGCCTTGCCCAAGGGGACAGTGACCTACTTTCTTGTCCTTTGATGTACAGCAATGACATTTTGACCATGTGCACAGTTTTAGTTGTTAAATTGAACTTTGACCTAGATTTTGATGATGTGACCTACTTTCTTGTCCTTTGATGTACAGCTATGAAATTTGAACCATGCGGTGGCATAGCATTTTTCTCAAATGCAATCTTGTTTTATTATCAAACTTAAATACAAAATATACAAAAGAGGGAGATGTATATCACTGACAGGTTATAAAACAATCCGACATCCATGGCATGGTAAGTCCGAGATCTAATCCAGTTTGATAACAAAAAATGAAATGGTTGTTGGAAACTTGCATTATTTCATGCTTCTTTAGTGTAAATGGCATGTTGTCAGTTACTTTGCAAACTATATTTATTTATACGTTTTGAAATTTTATGTATAATGTATTAGCAGTCTAAATTTTCATTTCAGGACTTGGTGCTGGAATCATTCACTACTGCTCAAATACTATTGTAGTTCGTAAGTTCAGTGTAAAAATGTGCCCTCTTGCGCTAACCATAGCAAATTCTGGTTTCGCCATTGGCTCTTTAATTTTACCACCAATACTTACGGTCTGTATTCAACAGTACAACTGGAAGATTGCATTTATTGTTCTAGGCGGTATAAGCTCTACCGGGCTTTTTGCTGCAGCTACATTCGTTTCTTCTAACAATGATAACAACGATGACGATAGTGATAATGTTGAAGTAAGGAAAACTATGATTGGAATTTTGAAAAATGTCAAATTCATGGTCTTCTTCGTTTCGAATGGTATAGCCACTACGGCTTTGTTTGGCCCTTCAACATTTCTCCCCGACCTAATGCAAGAAAAAGGACTAAGCAGTAAAGAAATAGCCGTTTGCATCATTGTCATAGGCGTAGGTAATCTTTTTGGACGTCTTCTTTGTGGGGCCGCTGCATCAAAGTTCAACAATCAAGTTGTATGGATTTTTGGAATTTCACTTCTTGGCTTTGGTGTTACATCTACTGCTATGATTTTGGCAAAGTCGTTGCATATATTTATGGTATTGTCGGTACTTGTGGGACTTTTTTCAGGTACGTAAATGTTTTGAGATAATTGTTAAAGTTTAAAGCATCTTCGTATCTAGTATCTAGTATCTAGTAATGCCTCTTGGTTAAAGGTACACTTACGTCTTGACCATCCAGACTGAAGTATGAGGGCTAATTTAGATATCTATAAAATATAAGCCAATACTTTTGGAAAACAAATGATAAATTTCACCTGTGTATGCGATTCAAAAAAGGTAATAATGGTCAGTGAAGCTAATAACACAAACACTACAGATGACCAAGTAATTTATTATCTAATATCTGCGTATCCCTTACCAGACTTAATATCTTATATGGACTTGTCCATTTTCTCATTTGGACAAGACCATTAATATTTTTAAGGGAAGATTTAAAACATGATAAATTGACTGAATGGCGAACGGATACCTGATCATGGTCTGCACTGATTGCATGGGAGAATTAAGTCAACACCAGCTGACTAAGGATTAACTCATTTTTAACTTGTCAAATATACCAAGTCCATAACATGCTCAAATCTGTCTTTTTTATTTCAAAGCTTACATGGTTTCTTTGTCGAAACAGCAACATTTTATTCTAAGTATATTTGTGCAAAACTTTATTTGATTTTTTGCAAGTCAATACAAAACAATTGAGCAAATGCACAAACACAAGCCGTTAGCCTTTGTGTTGAAATACATTAAATATATATATGAATAAATATTCGCAAAGTGTTTAAATATTGAAAGATGTTATTTCGAATTCAGGGGGCTATTTTGGATTGTTTACTGCCGTTGTTTCCTACTATCTTGGAAAGAAACAGCTCCCGATAGGATATGGAATGATTTCTGCGACGACAGGAATATCACTCACTGCTGGAATGCCACTAGCTGGTAACGAATTTCATTCACGTTAGCAAGATTTCGTAACTAGTTTTGTAACCGCAAATGTTGATGAATAAATTTTGGTGTTTTTTAAATTTTTGTTAACTTTAAAGGAGAACTACAAATACTAAGAGGTATTGCTACTGATATTGATATGGTACAAGAATGGCATTTTTCTTATCTGGTATATACAAATATCGGTTTGCCAATGTAAGAACAGATTTGAACAAATGGCAGCGACTTTCAATTTACAGTTCCTGTTCATGTACAATAAAGCGTCACCTTCGTGCAACAATGGGTTAAATCCTTAGTATAAGTAAGAATAAAGTGACGAAATACATACCTAATATTTTTTAAAAAATATAGAAAGAGTTTTCGTTTTCCATAGGTTTTGTATCCGATTCGTATGGCAATGAGAACGGGTCATTTGTATTTGGAGGATGTATGATGTTCTTTGCGGCAATGATGGTGTTTGTCAACTTGGTCGTCGACTTCCGTAGACGGGGAACATGCGCTAGACAGACTGGCAATGAGAAATACAATGAACAAAATGGATATATAGAAACAACACATTTATAATATATTTCTTTCAAAGTGTTTTTGACTTATCCATGTGGTAAAAATGTGAAAATGATTAAAAGGGGTTGACTACTGTGTTCTTGTAAACAATTAAATGCATTTTTACAGATAAACTCGTATAAATATATATTGATTTTTTAATGTTATGAATTATATATATGTTTCTTACTATTAAAATTTATATATGTTATGAACACTTATTTACAATTTTACAGATAAACTATGAAAAGTATACACCAAATGTTATAAACAATTGTATATGCTTCTATGGAATAGCCCGTATTGACATAATGTATCTAGAGATTGATAGTGAATGCGTAATTTTACCACGGTTTACACAGGTTTTTTTAAAACTTGCCTGCAACTTTGTTTGAAAATATTTTTTTCATGAAAAAGAAGATATTGAATGAGTGTAAGTTCAAAACTGAATTTATTGAACGAGTTGAATAAAATTAATTTATTCCAGCCTCTGGTGTGCATTATATTACCTAGTTCAACGATTTCAATAAATTCACAAATGAACTTGCACAAATTTAATATTCTATTCATCACCAAAGAAAAATATAGACCGTTTAAAGTCAAATAGAGTCATTTTTCATTGGCGCGCCTTCAGTATATAACGCTTAGTGCGTCTAAACACTATTGTATCATAGTTTGGAGACCTTTCTGTTGAAAATGTGTCAGGGTTAAATTGTATACATATACATGCACAGTGCGTTAACTGGAGTGCGGGTATTAGTTACCCGCACTCCAGAGCATGCCCATTGATTGGTTCATTTTTGCTGGGGTTTACATATTGTGACGACAGAGAAGGGAAAGCGACAGAAATGTCATATTTAGATGTTCGTTTATTGGTTCATTTTTGCCGGGGTTTCATATTGTGATAGCAGGGAACGTGATTTTATGTTTGACTATGATACAAAAGAAAAAGAACAGCAAAACACTCGGCAATCTGATTAATACTCGGGGGCTACGCCCCCTCGTACAAATCAGATAGCTTCGTGTTTCGGTGCTCTTTCTATTACTTAGCTATAAAGATTTCTGACAGGTTATATGGCCTTATCTAAACGGTTGTTTGAGCATATATTGCAAACAACCGTTTATATTATATGTTATTTTGGTTTTGGAGTGATATATGTGGATATATTACCTGTCAAGATTTTATATTTAATATTTAATCTTGCGTGTGCGTGTGTTATATAGATTATATTGTGAACTTAAAAAGTCTTTTTGTGAAATGCCGGTCAAAATACAAAATAACCAAAATTGGCAGAATTGATCCTTGGATGAATGGCTGTTAAAATTGTTTAAAGAATTTCATTCCATGTAGAAATCTTACTTATTGCCATGGCAACCAAAAGAAATTATAAGAATAAATCTAAAAAATCTTCTTGTTAAGACCAATATAGCCTAGATATTTTGTATAAAGCATTGTCTGGTAAACCTCTAACAAGATTGTTTAAATTATAGCCTTATGGTGAAAATTGGCTCCGTCCCGAGGGTCATTGATTTTCACTATGTGCATATAGTAAAAACTTAAAATAGTTTCTTGTCTTAAGGTGCACAGCTTAAAGCTTTGGCATTTAATATATGATATCATCTCTAGGTACACTACCAAAGTTGTTCAAATTTGCATCTAGTGTCAAAATTAGCCCCGCCCCGCAGGTGTTATAGGTTTTCCTTTTATGTATACAGTAAAAACATAAAAAAAATCATCTTCTCTAAAATGACAAAGACTAGAGAATAGATATTTTGCAATCTCTACCAAGATTGTTCAAATTATAGCCCTGTGGTCAAAACTGCCCCCGACCCAAGGGTCTTTGAATTTTACGATGTACATATATAGTAAATATTATAGAGCCTAGAGCTTTGATATTTGAAATATCTATAGGTCCTCTTCCAAAGTTGTGAGAATTTTTCTCCTAGTGACAAAATTGCCCTGCGCCAGGGGCGATATGTTTTCCTTATGTGTGTATGGTAAAAACTTGAAAATCTTCTCTAAATTGACAAACGCTAGAGGTAAGATATTTTGCACGAGACATTGTGTACTGTACAGAGGTTCAAATTATAGCCATAGGGTCAAAATTGGTCCCACCGTCGGGTGGGGGAAGGCATTGATTTTCATTATGTACACATAGTAAAAACAGAAACTAAGAGGAAGCTACAGCTTATATATTTGACATGAAACATTGTTTGGTGGACCTGTATCAAGATTGTTTGAATTTAACGCTTGGGTCAAAATTTTGCCATACCCAAAGGGACAGTGACCTTCTTTCTGGTCATTTGATGCACAACTATGTAATTTGAACCATGTGTACAGACTATGATGAAAACTGAACTTTGATATCAGCTGACCTGCATTTTCATCAAATATGGCTTTGACAGTTCTGATGTCTTTTCAGAGGTAGCGGAGATTGACTGTCTATGGCGGGGATTATCCTTAATAATAGTTATACCTTCCTATGACTCCAATCTGGTAATTGTACGATATATAAGGGCATTTTCTGCATAAACTAAATCTAGATCCGTTTTTTTATTTCTGACGCGCATTACCCAATAACCCAGGAATTTTGCAATAATAATTTTGCTCCTCTCTCAAATCACAATTCAACTCAGCATTGTTAACAAACAATTTACAAAAACATATGCATTTGTTAAATGACCTGCTAAAATTTTATAAGAACAGAAAAAAATCTTTCCAACGATATATTACATATGTACTTTCACGTGCAAATTATGGTAAAATTGAGTTGTTGCCACTAATTAAGATATGCCCCTCGTATAGAGGTGTGTTATATAGATTATATAGTGAATTTTAAAAATTCTTATTTAAAAACACTCATCAGATTTCAACTGAGCTTGTCATGATTGTTCCTTGAGTGTCTAAAGTTGTTCAAAGAATTTGATTATGTGCAGAAATTTGGTTGTCATGGCAACTGAAAGGAATTATAAGAAAAAAAAAATATAAATATTTTTCTAACCACCCGCAATGCTTAAGGCAAAAAGATATTTTGCATAATGCATAGTCAGGTGGACGTCTACCAAGAATGTTCAAATTAAAGTCCTGGGGTCAAAATTGGCCTGCCCGAGGGGTAATAAGTTTTCCTTATACATTGTATGTATATATATTAAAGATATTTTTTCCAAAGCCTAATGGTTTAGAGCCCAGATATTTAGCATGAAACATTGTCTACTGAAACTATATTAACATTAATCATATTATAGCTTTTGGGCCAGGGAGTCATTTATATACCTGATATATACATATGTTAATAGTAAAACTTTAAAGATTATTTTTTTTTACAATAAAGATCTTTTATTTTACCATACAGGATTAGGCTTAGATATTTTATAAGAAAATATGTCTGATTGACCTCTTCCAAATTTATTACAATTTTAGTCTTTAGGTCACAATTGGCCCCGCCCCGAGGGAACATATATTTTACTTTAATGGATATATTAAAACTTTTTAAGAGGGGGCCATTGATTTTCCTTATTTGTAAATAATAATGATAATAAAAATCTTCTGTTTCACTAAAGAGCCTTTTCTTAGATATTTTGTGCAAAACATTCTACACAATTGTTTACATTATAGCCCCAAGGTGAAAATTGGCAACCCACTGGGAGAATTTTTTTCCTTATATGTATATGGTAAAAAAAAAAGAAAAAATATTTTCTTCAAAACTATAAGGGCTAGAGCTATATTAAGCATCATACGCTGTCTAGTGACTCTCTGTTAATAACTGGAGTCAAATTGGTCGCACCCCAAGGGGACATTAAATTTCTTGAAATGTATGTACATGGAGTAAAAATGAAAAAAAAAACTTATTCGGGTATTTTATAGACCTTAGCCTAATTTGATATGAAAAATTGTCAGGTGAAACTCTACAAAAGTTGTTCCAATTATAGCCCTTAGGTCAAAATTGGCTTCGCTCTACAGGAATATAGTTTTTTTTTTTAAAATACATACATGTACTTAAAATTTAAATGAAATTTCTTTTATGAAACTTCTAGTAGACCTCTAAGTTTGTTTAAATTATAGCCCTTGGGTCAAAATTGGCCCCTGCCCTGTAGGGGTTCATGGATTTTCCTTATATAGTAAATACACCAAAAATCTCCTTGAATACTGCATGAGCTATATCTTACGATATTTAACTTGAAGAATAGTCTTGTGGACCTCAACAAAATATTCAAATTATAGCCATGCAGTCAAAATTCACCCAACCCTGGGGGTCCTAGATTTTCCTTATATGTTACTTCTGATTGCAACAAATAATTTTTATAATAACCATTTACTCCCATTGCAGCTAATGGCTAATGAATTATATATTTCCATAGCAATCAGTAACTTTCCATAGCAACCACTGACTTCATAGCAGCCAGTGAACTTCCAAAGCAACGAGTGTCTTCCCATAGTTACCAGTCACTAACATAGCAACCAGTGATCTCCATAGCAACCAAAAACCTCTAAGCAACCAATGACTTTCCATAGCAACCAGTGTCCTTCCATGTAAATATTGACTTTCCATAGGAATCCTTGACTAATATTGCCACCATTGACTTTCCATAGCAACCATTGACTTCAATAGCAACCAGCATTTAAGAAAAATAATTGTATCTATATCACAAAGCTTAATTTAGCTATTGAAAATAATAAGTACCAAAATTTTCATCAAGTTTTGAATCAATTATTTTACTATTGCCTTTGCATCTGAACATTCGTATCTGCACATTGTCTATCGTTTGAGATGCTGAAATATTAACTAGACACTCCTATATTATGACAAAAAGTACAATTGTATAAACAACAACTACTTCTGTTGTTGTGTTAATGCGGTTGCAAAGCATTTTTTTCACAAATGCATTCTTGATTTTCTATGTTAAAAAAACTTTTTTTTCCCGAGAAAATCTAATAATTTAATACATGTATAAAGTTGTGGGCAGAAGTCTGCATAAAATCAGTTTGAATTGTAACTTTTAGATTATAAATGGGTATTGATATTTAATTAATTTAAAAGTCATTTTTAAGTATGTATTGATTTGTATTTTAAAAAATACCCTAGTTACTATAAATCATTTTTTATTTGTAACTCGAGCTTTATTGTAACAATTATTTAAAGTAACATTGTGTATTTCCATAAAAAACATTGTGTTATAATACTTGTAATTCACAATTAAAAAACTCCAACAATTTTCTCGTTAAAAGCTATGCTTTTATAAGGAAATAGATGTAAAATTTGAGTACATCGTTAGAATGAAGCAAGGCTCGAGTTCCAATTGGCAAGCGGATACAATCTACAGCTCTCAAAATAAAACAAAATTGGAATGACCAATAAATCAAATGATAATAATATGAGAACTCGTTTAGAATATGAAAGTTGTGGACAGAATTAAGATAACCAAGACCGACAAAGCTCACCAACCCATACATAGTAGTCCTCCTCTTGTAGGTCGATCAGAGCTTTCAGCATTGATTTTACTGCAATACAACTCCACGCTTCACACATGTTCAAACACTTATAGAGATTTAAATCTAAGACCTCTTCTGTGTGGTTCAAAAGTTATTCAGCTTGCTGTTTGCAATTTGAAGAAACTTCGAAACTTCTGTTTGTAACATGATAGAATAGCATGTCAATGAACATTGATTGAAAAGATACTGTTTGTATACTAGCGTCAAATTGGCTGACATATTTTGTAAGAGATCATTGAATTCCGCTTTCATTATATAATAAAATCGTTTACATTTGCGGCTTTCGTCTGTTCAGATATTTAATTTGGTGATATTTTTGTTAGTTATTAGCACGGTTCTATTTGTAAATAAAGAGGTAAATGAAATCAATTTTGTTATTGCAATGTATTTTTTGTTTTTGCATTGAAATACATGTTTAGCAAAGAGTGATTTCTTTGTTAAAAGAAACCCAGCTGAGTTTCCTGAGTGAATACGTACTAGCTGTTTCTTTTAAAATTTAATACTTTAAGCGTTCATTACTCGACTATGAGTTTCTATCAAATGCCATTCATTTTTTAGTAGACCAAACTTACTTCATAAAAAGTATTAATTACTTTAATAGAAAATTTCAATAGCACTGTGCAAATTAAATGTGTGTCAGTAAGGCTAAATGCCGTTAAGGCGATTATTTATACCGGTATCAAGCAGTTCAATTTAAATTGCATTTCAATGTGACCTTTTATATCTGTTATTTCTTACGTAAATCACCAATTTAAGGCATAGCATGTGAGGGATGGTCAGTAACTCCTTAGCCTCCACCTTTAAAAGATCTGCATACTTTCACGATTCATTTATATTCATTATTTAATAAATTGATGTCTTCAAAAATAGGAAAACTTATTAGATAATGTATAATTCGTAACGAATGCTTTATCCTAACGTGACTTATAAATGTCTACTGATCGTACTAATTATTGTTATTTAACATATATATATATATATATATATATATGAGAGAGAGAGAGAGCTGGAGAGAGAGAGAGAGAGAGAGAGAGAGCGGACAAATTTCCCACACACATAACGGTAAAAAACAACAACAAAAACACAAAAAACTTATGCTTAATTTATATTATCTAATTATACCTCTAAGTACTGGTTTCACAATATCATCAAAAAGGATATTCTAACACAATTGGAATTTTTATCTATATAAACAAAGAAGCGTGCATTATTCTATATTCTAACACGAAACAAATTAGACACAATTTAACTGATTATCATGTACGGCAGCATTTATTTGTTGATCTCGTGTTAGAATCGAAATAATATATCCAAATCGATGATTTTATTGCTTGATTACATCACTGTTTGTCGTTCGGATGCGCATCATTATATCACTCGGGCTACGCCCTCGTGATATAATTCCCCGCACTAAGGCCTATCGGCCTTAGTGGTTATATTACTACGCATTTGAACTCAAACCGTGCATTATTCTACAACAATACACTCAGAATTGATATCTATTTCCTAAATATAGATAAAATAATAATATTATATGTTATTTTGGTTTTGGAGTGATATAGATCTATGTGGATATATTACCTGCTTCTATCACCCGAGCCGTTAGGCGAGGGTGATATTTTATCTTGGCAGGCAATATATCCACATATATCACTCCAAAACCAAAATAATAATTTTATTACCCTTTCCCTGTCGAGTTTAGACGATTTTAAAAATCATACATGTAGTTGTTTCAAATGAAAAGTCGAAATAAGTTACCCTTTAGGGTACCCCTTCGTCACAACATGACGTCACATAAATACATGACGTATTTTTCCCCCGTACCTAACGTAAACAAGAGAAAAAGAGTAGTCTATTGAACGCACTTTTTGTAATTAATATCAAGCTTTCACAAGGTCATATTTGTTTTCAATACTGATGAGAATATGTATCATTACTTTTTGGTAATTATTTATCATTTGACAGTTTAAAAGTGCTTGTAAATCGGAATTTACACCTCAGCGCATGTTGTTTACAACGTGGGGTACCCAACGGGGAGATTTAGTGTGTATATTACCCGTCTGGCTCGGTAATATCAATTTCTTTCGGGTGATCAATACCTAATCATAAAGGCGGAAAAAATCCTGAAGGGTAATAAATATTTATGTAAAATGTTTGTATTTCGCATGTATTGTCTTTCCAATGATATACAAAATTTAAAATGACCAAAGGTTAATGTTTTTGCTGAATGTCAATACTGTAAACCTGAACTTTTTATTGTGCATAAACAAGACAGATTTTTTCTCTTTCCAACGCAAGGTTTATAGTTCAGTTCACGGATTTTGATAATCAGCCCTCTTGACGATGAAGCACTTTAAAACTGAGGATAAAATTCAGATGTAAGTAAACTATAGATCTTAGTATATTCCAGTGTCGACGAGATCTTACCAAAATCGCTATACTGGTATTCATTGCATTAAATGATGAAGAGACATTGTTTAAATGTTTTAATAGTTTTAGGGAGTCATCTTGCTCATGTTGTCTCTATAGGTATGGCTGTATCATTTGGTATTTTATACAGTGAAATTAAAACAGAATTAAAAACCTCGCATGTGGAAACTGCCTGGATTTTCTCCTTTTTTAACGGTCTACTTGGACTTACTGGTAATTGTCTTTCTACTTTATTTACTATATGTATAATGGAGCTTTTATAACATAAAACATAATGCTTCCAAAATGCTAAGAACCTAAGCGAATGACATATTTGTTTATAAATCAGCAATAGCTGCAGAAGTACATTGTCTATAGGCTTCATTTTTTTTATTTTCTCTAGTTTTGCGTGTTTTAATTTTTTTTACACACATTTCTATATTCACGTGAAAAAAAAAAAAAAAAAAAAAACCAGACGACATTTGAATCGAAGGTTTAAACTTCAATTTATCAAGGAGTCTGCTTTTAATTTTCTAAATTACATATCAATTCTCTTTTTACCTACATTTTGTTAGGTACGTTCTAAAGTTAAAGAAAAAAAGCACTTTATGGAATTTTACCAAATAATGACATATTCGTTGATATTTCTATATTCAATCTTAATAGCTTTTTCATGTAAATATGCTAATTTCTGTAAATGTCGGTGCTAGAAGGTATAAAAGGTAACTAGCCGTACACAAAAAGGCTTATTAAAACTGAAATTATTGTCATGTTGTGAGTTCTTAAGTTTCATTTTGACTAAAACGTTTGGTAAGATGGCGCGTGCACAAATGAAAAACTATATATACAGTAAGGTTGAACCTTTAAGGGTTTTGTTTCTAAATCTAATGTCTTAGATCAACAATCACGCATACCACCGAGATGGAAACTCTTAAAACCCTTACAGAAAAAATCTAATAGTTTAAAAACGTTACTTGTAGATTATATTCACTTTTTTAAGCAGTTAAATACTTTGAGATGTTTTTCTTTTTATTTGTTGGCATTATCAGATTGATATACTATCAAACCAGTATAATATGATACAGTATTAGATAAAATATAAACATCATTCAATTTACCTAATGATATATCGATCTGACAAATGATATAGACCTTTTTTACTACAAGGTCTGTTTCTATGCACAATCTGCGTTAGGCAAACGAGCATCGCCGTACATAGAAACAATACATGGGTAATTTAAGATAATAAGTTAAAAAATATGTAATAGCTTCTAACAAAAACACAAAAAAATGGCTTTATAGCCTTGTCGCCAAGACTTTAATAAAAAATCATGAACAAAATGATTGTTCTATATTAAAACATGTGAAAATATATCAATTAGCAAATAAAAAGGCCAACTTAATTCTTGTTCAAATTGTTCATATAAATACTAAAGAAATTCTATAACATATAAAATCGAGGTTGATTTAAACATATTTTATTGCCAAAAATAAGACATATACATACATGTAGACAGTTACAATACAATGACATGACATATTTGGCAAAAAAAATCGAGGTTAATAATCATTCGTAGAAAATCAGAACACATGCACCTTGCTTGCTGGTCCAATTTTAATTACTAAGAATCGTCTAATCATACCTTAAACAGAGGACTTTTGTATGCGCTTCTTGATCGTTAGATAATAATAAGTCCTGTATATATTTTCGTATCACTGTCATAAACATCAATATACGAGTACGTTTTAAGTAATTTTTTAAGTCATCCTAAAATTACTGTTTTTCTGGGTAAAATAACTTGAAATCACGTCTATTTAAGCCTTGAAGTATGATCAATTGTAGCCTTTTTACCCCACGCAGAATGCGCATGCGCGAATTGCAACATCCGTAACTGTAGAAAATTGTACTGTAAAAAGTTACATAGGTTAGCAAACATTTATTATTTCTTTTTGTTTCTTTGTGCCATCAAATATACATGATTTAAATCACAGGTTTGCCATTAGGATTTTTACTACACAAGACAAATGAAAGATGGCTGACGGTTATTGGAACCTTTTTCCTCATCGCTGGAATGATATCGAGCAGTTTTGCTTCCAAGATCAGTACGCTATATATCACATATGGTGTCATAAGTGGTTTGTTTTATATCTTTATTCCATATACTTAGTAAGAAGACCGTCATATTACAATCATTTATTTGTGGCATGCTGTACATCTTTTAGGGAGCCACTTTAAATTGCCTTATCTTTTCTTGTATAGGCAGTTATATTTTTAACTTTTTGTCCCCCGCCTTTTCGAAAAAAAGGGGGATATAGAAATAGGCTCCGTCTGTCCGTCCACCCGTCTGTCCGTCCGTCCGTCTGTCCGTCCGTCCGTCACACTTTCGTGTCCGGTCCATAACTTTGTCATTTATGAAAGGAATTTGACATAACTTGGCACAAATGTTAATTATAATAAGACGATGTGTCATGCGCAACAACCAGACCCCTACCTCCATGGTCAAGGTCACACTTGCTCATTCAAGGTCAAAATTGCCTATTTGAGGTTATATGGCGTGTCCGGTCCATAACTTTCTTATCTATGAAGGGATTTTATAGATACTCGCCATAATTGTTCACAATAATCAGACAATGTGTCATGCGCAAAAACCTGTCACCTACCTTCAAGGTCAAGGTCACACTTGGAAGTCAAATATTAACATAGTCTGTTACAGGGTATATTTCGTGTCCGGTCCATAACTTTGTAATTTATCAAAGGAATTTGAAATAACTTGGCACAAATGTTTGTTATAATAAGACGATGTGTCATGCGCAACAACCAGACCCCTACCTCCAGGGTCAATGTCATACTTGCTCATTCAAGGTCAACATTGTCTATTTGAGGGTATATGTCGTGTCCGGTCAATAACTTTCGTATCTTTGAAGGGATTTTGTAAATACTTAAGATAATTGTTCACAATAATCAGACAATGTGGCATGCGCAAAAACCAGTCGCCTACCTTCAAGGTCAAGGGCACACTTGGAGGTCATATACTTGCATAGTCTTTTACAGGGTATATTTTGTGTCCGGTCCATAACTTTTTCAAATGATTTTGAAAAAACTTCACACAAATAGTCACTATAGTAAAAGGATGTGTCGTGTGCAACACCTACATCCTACCTCCAAGGTCAATGTCTCACTTAGAGGTCAAAATTTAACATAGTCTGTTATAGGGTATATTTTGTGTCGTATCTAGAATTTCTTCATAGTTCAAGGGATTTTGAAATAACTGGGCACAAATAGTCACAATAACAAGACAATATATCAAGTACAACACCTACTCTACTTCCAAGGTCAAGGTCACACTAAGAGGTCAAAGGTTAACATAGTCTTTTATTTGGTATATTTTGTGTCCCGTCCATTACTTCTTCATAGATTAAGGGATTTTGAAAATAGTCACAATGATTAGATGATATCTCATGCGTAACATCTGTGTCCCTACCTCCAAGGTCAAGGTCACACTTAGAGATCAAAGATTTACATAGTCTGTTATAGGGTATTTTTTGTGTCCAATCTATAACTTTTCATAGTTCAAGGGATTTTGAAAATACTTGGCACAAATAGTCTCAATAATAAGACGTTATGTCATGCACAACAACTGCTCTCGTAATCAATCTTCGTGATGTCAATAAGTGTAACTTTTATAGTATATTTATTTTGTATGTATATATGTGTATGTATGTATGTATGTATGTGTATATGTATATGATTACATATATACATGATATCAAATTTTAAAGTTTTCAAAAAATTACTCCACGACTCTTCTTCAGAATAATAATTTAGTGTCACGATGTAATTCATACGACTATACTTTACAGAGTTATATTGTTGTATTCTTTTTAACTCAGCATTAGTTTTCGAGCATTTAAAGAATATCTCTCTTCAAGCTGTATGTTGATCTTGTGTTTCGTTTTCGATAAGATCAGGATACTTACAGTATGCAAATTCCTATCTAAAATATTAAAGACTCATAATTTATGTTGGTCTTGTGTTTCGTTTTGACAAGATCAGGATATGACTAGTATGTAAGGACTCATATATCTAACACACATAGTTATTTTGTGACAAGGAAGAGCAGGGGTAGTTTATAGAATACAACACATACATAATTTTGTAAACATTTAGATATTATTAGAAATGGATTATTAATATACTAAGATATTTCAACATGCAAATGAATGTAAACCTTCTCCGTTGTTGTTTAAAACCTGTTTGAAATTTATTTTTGTACACTGTCTTGCCATATATATATATATTGTATTGTGTATCCACACGGTCCATGTGGCCTTATGGAATTTGAAAAATAAACTTATCAAACTTATCAAACTCTCCTACTTCCAAGGTCAAGGTCACACTTAGAGGTCAAAGCTTAATATGATAGATTTTTTAAATTCTGTTTCATTTTATTTTTTCAACACATTTATTGTTACATTTGCAGATCTAGCATTGATCATAATTTTGGACTGAATGTCCTGAGATCCATACCTCAATCTTTTGAAATAGCACACATTTATGCTTCATATAAAACTTCCCGAGGCGGGGGACGTTGGTAACTCTGTTACAATTTTTGTTAAATATTTTATTGTGAGAGAGACTGTTTATTCTAATATGTAACACAAACATAGAATTAATCTTGGAGAAAACATAGTATTTATCTTTTGTAAAGTAAAGGTGCGTGAATAAGTAAACCTGACACATTTTCTCTTAAATACTGATTATTTCATGGAAAACATTTTATGTCTGTCTTACTCACTAGAATGGGTGGACTCTTCACTTTATCGTATTGAAAACAATAAAATATTACAAGATTAAGGAAGAAAATCTACACGAACCATTCTTTTGTCCAACATAATGACATAAACTCTAGTGGTAAAGGCTCATAAATTTACATACTTAAAAATATTTCTGTAGGTAAAGGACCTTTAAGTGGCATAATAACTCCTAAATGATTAAAAAGAAACGCTGGTCGTCGTTAAACTTTGGGCGTCATTTAAATACCTTTTACATTTATGGTACTATGCCTACTTTATAATTTTTCATATACTCCATTATTATACGTAAGTTTTTTTTTATTTCAGTTCATTGATATGAATTGTGTATGTGTCCAATTAATTCCATCATACAGATTTAAATGTGTTCATCTCAATGTATAAGTTTCACCAAATGGTGTAATTAAAAATGTTTTCCCTTTACGCTATCACATTATTTCAATCATTCAATAATAAAGATTCTATTTTTTTGAACCAATTTAAACCAGGCTGCAAAAAAATTATATTAAAGAGATTTGTCTTAATTAATATAGTATGTGATAAGTTAGCAGTGAACAGTGAGCTAAGCAAAAAGGCATTTCAATTTATATAGGGAAGTCAATGATCTGCTGTAATGCTCAGCTGTTTTGGGCATCTAGCGGGACATTCCTATATAAAGTGTAAAAATGCTCTGCTGCAATACTCAGCTGTCTTAGCAATCAAGAAGAGCATTCCTATCTATAGTTAAATCAAAGTGCTGAAAGCACTGGATGCGACATGAAAAGGGAATTGCGTAAATGCTGTCAAAAAAGGACCAAGGTTTTCTTTATTATTTACAAAGGACAGCAAAATTCTATGCCTGAGTTTTATGGACTTCCAATTATGACTAACGACATGTAAAGGTTTCTTTATCTTTTGTTTTCTTTTGAAAACTGATGTTATATGTTTAAATGAATACAACAAGTATATAATTATTTGTTGTCATAAAGATTGATTTTCTTTTAAATTAAGATTTTTCTAACCTAAAAAAAGACTATTACACTGTTAAAATGATTGTTAGATTTATGGGGTTCAGAGAGTAACCTGAAAACATATACAATAAAATAGAAAGAAATAAGCAATATTAATTTAGTTCAAAATTGTCAATTTGTTCTGTCAAAAAAACAATGCTAGAGTTATTGGCTTTGTAATTTTTTTACGGACGATCTAAAAAATATTTGTGAAGTTACAAGTAAATATTTTAATTTTTTATGAAGTTCTATGTTGTATAGGCTAAACGTTGTCCCAAAATATGTAACCAAAGTGATTTGCCAACGCGGATACTCATGACAAAGATGAGAAGGATAGCAGGACAGTTGAGCTAACGTTTCCATCAGGCTCCAGTCTTTTCATATACAAGTGTCATAACACCTTGCAATATTTTAATTTTTATTGGTTCCGTGTTTGGAAACACAGAAAATTAATAAGGAAGTAATATTTTCCTCAAGAGTCAGGCCATTTATAACAGTGCACACATATTATGCAGAGTATGAAATATGTCAAGATTTGTGAAGGGATAGAACATCATTCGAATAGATTTACACTGTTATTACAGGGCCGGGTCATAAGAATTCGTGGGGGTTTATGTTTGATGAGGGAGGGTCTGGCGGTTCTCCCAGGGGAAAAAAATCAATTTCATATGCTACCTTATGGCTTTTGGTGCACTTTATTTGCACATTTTGAAACTGAAGTGTCTTAAAAAACCTTCATCTACATTTTAGGGAAAGCTATGATTTTTAATGAATTTTCCAGAGGGTAAAAATATATGCTTTACATTAACCCTAATAAGTTTCTCCTTCATTCAGTATTATCTAGGCGCTTAAACTGCATCTGCACTGACCAAGAGAACTATTTAGTGTCGGCAAGTATGTATTAAGTCTCGACCAATTGTAAAATGGACTGAAAGAATTTTATGACAGGAAACTCAGCGGGGGTCCAAGTTCAAATAAACAAGGACTTAGATTTATATCATATTTTACTTTCAATGCGCTTTGTTTTTTTATTATAGGAAAACATTTCAGGCCAGGGTCTTTTTGTCTGGATAATTGCTCTCTTTCATGTTTTTTTAGAATATATATTTTTTCGCAAATCTCTACTGTTTACATTAATAAATCCATTTATTCGAAAACCTAGAAATAACTCTATTTATAATGGAAGATGCCACTACTACGACTGTTTTAATTTTATTGATTTTCATTATAAACAATATATTTTTTGAAAAATTTGCAATAGATATAAAGGAAATATTGATAATTTTCAAACACATCAATTTTTTCACCTTAAAGAATAATTAGAAAAATAGAAAT